GGCAATTTCGACTTAGGCTCTGACAGATCAGCACCCCTGCTGGATTCGGTATCAGTTTGTGAGTATAATGGTAATGCTACCACCCCACTCTACTAAACGGCAATCGGTGCCAGTGGGCCACAGGGCAGATGCGACATTCAAGACGAACAAGGCCTCTCTTGAGCTTACATTTATAGTGGGATCGTCCAGTAACCAAACGTGTATTTGCTATTCCATTCGGCGAGATTACTTGTGATCAATATGAGTAGTATCCGAAAATAACAGTAACTCCTGAGTAGGAGCCTGGTCACCCCAGGCAGATCTTATCCAAGGATTACTGATAGTCAAAAAGACTATTCATATCAAAGATAATTAACGTAGTCGATTGGAGTGACAAACACACACCTTATTGATGGACAATCCCACTACAAACGTGAGTAGGAAGAGGCATGATTTGCCCTGAATGCCACATTTGCTCTGTGACCCATTAGAATCCATGGCTTCCGCCACGGTGTTCACGACTAACTATAAAATCCCGCCGTGGATGATGCAGGTATAAACTGCAGCTTACTCTAGATAAGATAGGCTTATGTGAGGCATTGCTAAGTGGAATTCATTGGTATCCTGAGGCCGATTCCTCTCATTGTGAGAAAACCAAATTATCACTTTGGGCAACCTTGGGTGATTAAGCGCTCTTTCATCTTGCTATAGACATATAAAAGTATAAATATTGGGTTTTAAATACTCCATTAATGTATGAATGTGAATCGAATTTTCATTTACAAATGAAATATTTATTTTTAAGGGATTCGAAAATCGAATCCGTACTGCTTTGGAGCATAGAATGTTGGATTTTTCGAAGAGGTCCTTGCCTCATTGTCCTGCAACTTTGATCCATCCTCGCTGAGCTTTCGCCTTGCCCGTCGTGGCAGACATTATAAAAACCGGAAATCTGCAGTGTTTTGGCGGTTTTTTCATAAATTATTATTTCCGGCTCTGACGATGCCCAAATCATCAGGAGGGAGGAGAGCCCAGCACGGATGGATCAGGCTGAGGACTTTTCCGCACAATCCAACAACCGTTACTTCTTCGGTTTCTGGGAGCGCCAATTCCCAACGACATTTCAACCAATAGTTCCTTCGAAATTTAGAGTAGAGTCAAATTTGGCTATCTCTTTGCCTATATTTGGTCTCCCTCATCCCTTCTTTATAAAACACAGGTCTCCTTCGTAGTTCCGATCTGCGGTGCTGAAGAGTTAGTCCAATTCTCTACGCTCTTCTCACAAACGGTAACGAAGGAGTTGAGCGAGGGCCACCTCTGGTACTCCATAGTGACCCGACCAGTGACCAGCCGTTTCACGCGCTTTGAAAGGGTGGCCTGTTGCCTACTTCTACTTCTCCTGTTTATGATCACCACGGCTATGTTCTATCGAAACGAAGGACCTTACGTTCAGACAAATTTGCTGACAATTGGACCCTTCGCAATAACTTTACGAGAGGTAACTAACAATCGCGACCTCAGATGAGCACCGAATTGGGCCATTGGGACAGTTAGGCTGTAATAAAAAGCCGTATCCTTGGAAACTGGCCAATCATTTCGATACGACTAGTGCCCTAGAATAACAGTACATTTGGGCTAATAACTTAGTCCGCATAAGTCGCTTAAGCTGATTTAAAGACTGATAGTTGAGATGCCTAGAAGACCAAGTTCATATTCAACAATTACTGATAGTCTCAGAAACTACTCATTTGAAATTAAGTAACGTCATCGATTCCAATGAAAAACGTATATTTGCTTACTCAACAATCCGGCTCTAAAATGTGTGTCTGACCTGCCCTATGGCTGACTGATATCCGTGGCCGTGTGATAAAGTTGAAAGCTA